AGTGGACCTCAGAGTTGCTATAGACCAGTGACTATTGTGTGCCTCCATTTTCCCCCCTTCAGCCAGGAGTGTATATAATTATACTACGCACGTCCCATCACTGTGTGTTGAGTATGTATTGGGGAAAATGATCTTTCTCTTTAGTTCACAGGTCTTCAAATTAAAAGGAATAGTTTTCAAGGAGCTATATGCAAGGGTCTTATCTAAATGTAAATGATATATTAAACTGTGCACAGATTTCATTCAAAGCTTGATGGGACAAGGCTTTAGGAGTCTGGGAGGGAGGTGTGTATTTTACACATGGAAAGGATTTGAGTTGTTGTAGCCAGGGGGCAGACTATGGCTACAGTAATCCCTCCCACCTACAAAATAGGTTCACTCCTTTCTTCAAGACTCACAAAGTCCAACAGTACCTCGCATCCCATAAGCTCCCCTTATCTTGTCACCCTATCACTGCCTGTGGAATGATGGAGTCTGTGACTCCTCTACCTGAACCTGGTTGGGCTTCTATAACTGCCTTGACCAACAGAATGAGACTGAAGTGATGATCTATGACTTCATATATCAATAATGGCTATATTTCACAAAATGTGATGTGCCTCTGCCTTGCTCTGTTTATTTGCTCATTCTTGGAAACTCCCTATTTTGTTGTTAGCCTAAACAGCCTGAGGAGAAGCCCATGAGAAGGAGAATTGAGGTCCCTAGACCACAGCCATGGCTGAGCTTCAAATAGCAACAGCTTGTTAGCCGTGCGTATGAGCCATCTGTAAAGTAGAATATTCAGCCTCCAGTTGAAATAGCCTACTAATGCCACATGAAGCAGAGATGAGCTTACACATATTTGAGCAAAGGAAATGATTCTTGTCATTTTAAGCTACCAGGTTTTAGGGAGCTTTGATACACAGTGATAGTTGCTCAAAGCACACCCCTCAAGTGACCTCATCTGTTTCTGTGGCGTTAACTGCATGGATTCTCAAATCTGAATTTTCAGGTCACATGTTTATTTGGAGCTCCCACTCATGTATCTAAGTGTTAATTAGATGTATCTAACTGTTAATTAGATGTATCTCTGCTTAAGTACAATACATGTGACATTAAGGTATTGTCCTTCACCAACACTGGTTCTTTCTTTACTATTTTGGTTATTTTACTGTCCATTTATTTATGGCAGACATCTGGGGAAACATTCTTAATTCCTACATGTTCTTGCATGTGATTTTACATCTGAAATCTCTCTTGAAAGCTGACAGTGATATTTTAAAAATATATGTGTGATCATTAATTCATACAATTCATAAATGACTTCACTTTATTTACATCATAAAGCCCTGTTTGCTTGGCAGGACATTCATGGTTTTCAGCGAGCTGACCCCTTGCCACATTTCTAGCCTTGCTGACTATTCCTCCTTTTGCTTTATAATACTGAATTACTAATAGTTCTCTGAATACACGAGGAAAAACCTGTACTCCTTCAGGATATTCCACTCATCTAGGTTTTTGGCAGAAATTATTTTTCTTGTGGTTTTAAGACCCAGGTTCCTGTTTTCTTGCTAGCTGTTAGAAGAAGGTTGTTCTTATTTCCTACAGTCTGCTCTCAAGCCCTTGCCACATGGCCCTCTCACAACATGCAGCTTGCTCCTTCAAAGCCAGTGGGAGAATCTTACTTGAGTGTGCTACAACAGACTCCTATGTAATGTCACCTAACAAAAGGAATGGCTACCCCGCAGGTCCTGCTCACACTCAGGGGAGGGGGTTATACAAGATTTGTTTACCAGGGGTAGGAATTTTGGGGGCTTAGAATTTTCTTTATGGTAGATAAAATAACTTAAGTACTTAATAACTCAAGTTATTGAGTATACATATATGTATCTCTTTCCCAAAAATTGCCAAATAGAATCCTATACTTACCTATGGTAAACAGAATTCTAAGATGGTTTGTAAGATTCCTATCCCCTGGTGAATTCTCATCACTTTGGGAGGCCAAGATGAGTGGATTGGTTGAGTCCAGGAGTTAAGAGACCAGCCTGGGCAACATGGCAAAACCCCGTCTCTACAAAATATATAAAAACTGGCTGTGTGTGGTGATGCGCATCTGTAGTCTCAGCTCTACTTGGTGGCGGCTGAAGTGAGAGGATTGCTTGAGCCTGGGAGACAGAGGTTACAGTGAGCTGAGATACTGCCACTGCACTCCAGCCTGGATGAGAGAGTGAGGCTCTGTCTAAAAAAAAAAAAGTTCAATTATTAGAAAGTTTGGAAGAATACATCTTTGTTTGTATCTGCTTTTATCCACTCTGTTGGTTATTCATTGGGCTCTTTGAATCTGACAATTAATATCCTTCAGTTGTAGGAAAATTTTGTGTTTATTTCAGTGATGATTTCTTCTATTTTCTCCTTCTCTTTTTCTGTGACTTGCATTATTTAGATGTTAGGCGTCTTTAACTAGTCCTTCAATTTTATTACCTTTTTTCTCTTCTATCTTACATCTATTTCTGTTGTGCTTTCTGGGAGACTTATTTAACTTTATTTTTCAATTATTTATGGATCCAGTGTCTTCCCATCTCATTGAAGTTGTCTGTGGTGGCTTCTGAACCTTTCTTATTCCCGCATGGTCTGTATTTTCTCTATGTTATTTATTTTTTCCATGTGTTCCAGTCTCTGCTTTTCATGTTAAAGGCTTTCCTCAGGTGTGTGTTAATCCTTGGATGTCTGTTCATAGTTTAGAATTCAAAACTAAAACTAAAATACAGGTTGGAAATTCTAACATTGGTGAGACTTGGTGACTTTTAAATATGTATATAATATATATATGTAACAGTGATATCTGTTCACATTTTAGTTTTTCATTAATCTTTAAAAAATTTTGTTTAATTTGCAATTAAAAAAAATAGAGACAGGATTGTGCTATGTAGCCCAGGCTGGTCTTGAACTCCAGAGCGCAAGTGATCCTCCCATCTTGGCCTCTCAAAGTGTAGGCATGAGCCATCGTGCCTGACCTTTTTGAAAATTAATCTTCTTAGTTTCTTAGTATCACAATGGAATGATGAGAAAATAAAACAAAAACATGAGACTTTGCAAGTCTCTGACAGGCAGACAGTTGGGGTTGGTAGAGACTTGAGAGATGTGGCCAAAATAGCTCTGACTCTCTTTGGCTGACTGGGAGGAGAACGGTTGGGAAGGTGGAGTGGTGAGAAGGTGGCACCCTTGTAAGCTGTCCTTGACATTTCTGCCCCATGACGGATATGTGCCTGATCCTCTCAGACCATCACATGGGATTTCCCAGTGCCTTCTGGACACCTGGCCACATGACACCCCACCTCCCTGCCTAGTTCAAATGTCCTGGGAATGCCACACAGTGCTAAGATGGACCTTGAAGCCAGCTCTGCTGGGTGGCAGCAAGAGAGGAGGATGGAGGAGGGGCAGAGGCAAGCAACAGTGTTCCAGATTCTCACACATTCTCACACACGGAGAATGTATGAGAATTGTGTCTTGTCTGGGAGGTATCTATGGTGGAAAGTGGAGAAAGTGCAGGTAGCAGTGACAGAAGTTCATGTCTCTTAGGCAGTAAGCAGACTGAAGAGGTGAGCAGGGTCGAGCCTAGAGCTCCATAGAGTAATTAGACCTAGCCTGCTTTTTGGCGAATCCCAATGTCAGTATCTTCAGGCTTTTGGGATTACTCAAGATCTCCCAAAAAGGATAAAAATTCCAATTGAGGACAAAGGCCTAACTGCCGGCATTCTGGGAACTGAGTGGAAAGGGACCTTAGGTGAGGGGAACATCTCAACATTTGGTTACTTAATCCCCCGATTTCAGCATGGTATCCACGCTGTCAGCTGTTCCTAGATGTCTGCCGGTATGGGGAAGCAACAGTTGTTTAATATCATAGAACTGGGGAGGAGAATCTAGGGATCTAACTACTTCTCAAAAGCTTTGACATATTCATGTTTATTTTAGAGCCTTCCTGCCACTTCCCTTCTAATATTTCCTTCCCAGATCCAGACTTGCTTGACACTGATAGTTCCTGAGCAATTTTAGGATTTTGTAGCTAAAACTGAATTGTGTCTTAGTTTTCCCTCTGATGGCTTAGGGTTTTGCGTTGTAGGATCTCCTAAGTCAGTTATTTTATTCTGACTTCTAAAATTGTGCTACCTTTTCTCTTTTCCCTTCTTTATGTATGTATGTTTGTCTCTTTTAAAAAATCCCTCTGCTGTAGTTTTCCTGGGAGTTCTGGAGGGAGCGAAATTAGATGTGTGTATTTAATTTGCTACTTTAATTCAGGTCTTCCTCATTGTTTTGTAATGTGTCATATTATGTTAAATTCTTATATGAAAAAGTTTATTCCTTCGTTATCTGTTCTATTTCCCTTGAAATATTTATCTCTATCAATTAGTCCCACATTGCTTTATTTATTGTTTTTATTTGTTTATAGTATTCTTTATGATTGTAATTTTTTGTTTAACTTCTTATAAAATCTTAATTTTATAATGCCTAAACTTATAGGGGGCCAGGCACGATCGATCGCTCATGCCTGTAATCCTATCACTTTGGAAGGCCAAAGTGGGAGGATCACTTGAGCCCAGGAGTTTCAGACCAGGCTGGGCAATGTAGGGAGATTGACTCTACAAAAAATTAAAAAAAAAAAAATTAGCTCGACATGGTGGTGTACACCTGTGGTCCCAGCTACTTGGGAGGCTGAGGTGGGAGGATTGTTGGAGCCCAAAAGGTTTAGGCTACAATGAGCTGTGATCATTATGCTGTTGGACTCCAGCCTGACAACAAAGCAAGCTTTTGTCTCAAAAAACAAACAAAACTATATAGGTACCTTGGGAGCCTTTAATTCAGGAAATTAGGAGATCATTTCTGTTAGTGTTGGATTATTATTTTATAGACTTGTTTTTTACTTGTTACTTTATTAATAAGAGTTAAGAGAATTGAAATCCAAATGTTAGAATATTATTATCACACTTTGTTCTTTTTTGTTGTTGTTGTTGTTTTTAATGAAGACTGAAGTTGCTGACGATCCTCAACAAGTTTCAACTGTTCATCTCCAACTAGGCTTACCACTGGTTTTTATTGTTAGCCAACAGGCTACATATGAAGCTGATAGAAGAACTGCAGAATGGGTTGCTTGGCGTCTTCTGGGAAAAGCAGGAGTTCTGCTCTTGTTAAGGTATCTTAAACATTGAATGTTTACTATATTTAGCAAAACACTAATAACTTCCATGTTTTAAAATGTGGTGATTTAATTACTTATAGGTAAACTCAAATTTTTAATAGATTCTAATGTAGTTAGAACTAGTTGCTGAGCTAAAATCTGTACATTCATTATAAGCTTGATTAAAACTTAGAACTTTAAACCTTGCTAAATGAAGAGAGAGATTAACATGGAGACTAGAAAATCTGGTCAATATGTGTAAAACTTTTCAGTCACTAAATTGTAATTTTTTTGTAATATTTAGTTTAAGATTATAGTTCTATTTTTGATTGACATCCTGGGTGATTATTATTCTTCAGATTAGCAATATAAAACATTTATTTCCATTTTGAAAAAGGGACTCTTTGGAAGTGAACATTCCTCAACATGCTAATGTGGTCTTCAAAAGAGCAGAAAAGGTTAGTTGTTTTATGTACTGGTCTATAATATATGTTGTCCTAAAGTAATAATTTTTATTATAGAAAAATCTGTAAATTATACATTGCTCCTATTCAAAGATAATTGCTGTTAACATTTTGATGTTTTTTTCATGTGTTAGTCGGTTTTTTCCTATGTTTACATGTTTATATGTATTTTAAAAAATAAAATCAGGATTATGCTATCCTGTTTTTTGTTTAAAATAATATGGGGCTGGGCATGGTGGCTCATGCCTATAATCCTAGCACTTTGAGCGGCTGAGGCAGGTGGATCATTTGAACCTAGGAGTTTAAGACCAGCCTAGGCAACATTGGGAGATCCCATCTCTACAAAAAATTAGCTGAGTGTGGTGGTTTGTGCCTATAGTCCCAGTTACTCAGGAGGGTGAGGTGGGAGAATCACTTGAGCACCAGAGGTTGAGGCTGCAGTGAGCCACGACTGTGCCACTGTACATCCACCCTCTCTCAAAAAATTAACGAGAGAGAGTGACGCTATCTCAAAAAATTAACAAGATGAAACAATTCAAGCCAGAGCCTTGATGAAAGACAGAATAATGATTACTTTTGGGGGATGTTAATGACAGGAAGAGCAAGAAGATGGCTCCTGGGTGTGCTGATGATGTTCTGTATCTTAATCTGTGTGGTAGTTATACAGATATGTCTACTTTGTAAAAGTCCATCAAACTCTATACTTACTTAACATTTTTGTTATTTTCTGTGTGACTGTTATACTTTAATTAAAAAGTTTACTACAGAAATTTCTGTGAATCTTTGGAACAAGTTAAGTTTGATTTTGATTCCTCTACTTAAGTTTACTATATTTCTCTAGGAATCAAAATTGCTTATTTTGAATATAATGTTAAAAAGGTGAAGATATGTCGTAGCAAAGAACAAACGTGCTTGGAGCTCATAGCTTTATTCCAATATGTAGTTACAATCAAAAATACTTTGCTAAAATAATCTAGGGCCTAAAATTTTGTATTTTTAAAGTGTAACAGTTGGGCAATAGTGAAATAAATCTTAAGTAATATTTTTAATTTAATATTGATCTCAATAGAATAGAATGTAGCATTTTTAAAACAACTGGTAGCAGATAGTAATTTAATGTTGTTTATAGCTAAACAGGAAATCGAACTTATTAGTGGAATTAGTTTAGATGAAGTATTGTTTTGGATATTTTTGTGGAATGTCAGAATAATCAATTTTGATTTGCTCTATTTGTAGTAAAATTTTATATATTTCCATCTTATAAAGAGGTAGAACTAGCTGTTATATGTGAAATGTTTTATAGACTTCAGTATAATGTGGTTGTGACAAGAAACAAGTGAGGCTTTCCACTCCTTTCGTTGCCACCCTTTTCAGTGTACCCATTGTCTTTATAGAAAGGTATGCTTTGGTTGCTTTTCTTTTTGTAGTAATTGTGGAGTTAATTTCCTTTTTCATTTTTCTTAATTTTAGAATTGAAACTCAAAGGTTTAGTTTCATTTTAATGTTAAACAAGTGAAACTCTTTTTTTTTTTCTTTTTGATACAGGGCCTGGCTCTGTCGCTCAGGCTGGAGTGCAGCGGCACAATCTTGGCTCACTGCAACCTCCACCTCCTGAGTTCAGACGATTCTTCTGTTTCAGCCCCCTGAGTAGCTGGGATTACAGACATGTGCCACCACACCCAGCTAATTTTTGTGTTTTTGGTAGAGATGGGGTTTCACTATGTTGGCCAGGCTGATCTCAAACTCCTGACCTCAGGTGATCCACCTGCCTGTGCCTCCCAAAGTGTTGGGATTACAGGTGCCCAAAGTGTTGGGATTACAGGTGTTAGCCACTGTGCCTGGCCCGAGTAAAACATTTTTATGTCAAAATACTTTGCTATATTCATTTTTTTAAAAATTGATGTATTTCTAGGGAGTTCCAGTGGAATTTTTGGTATTACGTGATGTTGATTTAATAATATCCCATGTGGAAAATAATATACACGTTGAGGAAATACAAGAAGATGAAGACGATGACGTGGAAGGTCCAGATATAGGTAATGTATTATGATTCTTACCCCTTCCCCATCCTGCTCAGCACCCATAAAGTCAGTGAAATTTTCAATGAATTAACTTTCTCAAAGAATGCATTCAGATTTAAGACTCTGTAAAGAAACCTGGTGGTATTTATTTTGAATCACATTTTATCAAGTTGATTTGTTGAAAAGATGTAAGGATGCTATACTTTGTTTAGTTATTGGCATTTACTGTTACGTATCAGGCTTCAAACTTCCCACATGTGTGCCTTCATCCTCCGTATCAGTACTTTCAGCCCTTCTGGACTAGTCCGTGTTTAAAAACTCTACTTAAAAACTACAACATGATATTTCATTGTTATTATTTTTATTGGGAAGTAGAGTTCTAATAAATATTGTTATATTTGTACTTGTACATAAATCCAGTTGTTAATGGTATAAAGAGTAAATTTTAATAACATTTTAACACTTCTTTTAAACAGTTATTTCAGTCTTTAAAAAATTTCTCTTATTGCTTACATTTCTGAAGTATTGTATAGTTTTCAAGCCTTTTCCCCACATATTATTTACTTTAATTGTTATTCTCTGAGTTAGCTGATATCACCTTCATTTAATACATGAAGAGTCTGCATTTTCTGAGTTAAGTGATCAGCCCAAAGTCCTACAAGTGGCTGGTGGTGGGGCCTGAGCTAGCATTTAAGCGTCTTGTAATAAAATCTTCTTTATTAGTTACAGTCAAGAATACTTTGCTAAAATAATCTAGTGGCCTAAAATTTCATATTTTTAAAGTGTGATAGTTTGGCAATAGTGAAATAATTGTTCCTGATACTTCTTTCATAACATTAATCCTCTTCTGTAATTACTAATTTACTTTTTTCTCTTCTCCACTAGTCTAGAAATATTTCTAAATCAAGGATTATGTCTTGTTCATTTTTGTATACCATATAGTAAATACTTGAATGTTTTATACAGTACCATTATGAGCTCCAGGAAGGAAGCAATTTACATATCATTTTCATAAGGTCCATGCATTGTGATCAAAATCTATATTGTACATTTAATAAGAGCTTTCACTGTTACCAGTGACCAGTTTCTTGGTTTGAGCTGAGCTCTAGTTCTTTTCTGATATGCAGGGGTTAGGATTGCTTGTGTTCCTCTCTGGAGTCCTCAGTGGGCTTGTCATTACATAAGTAGACCTGTGTTCTGGTCTCTTGCTTCCTGCTTTATTCCTGTAATGGTCCCTATATGTGAACTTTCAGAGTTAGGGGACTTGCCCCAATCTCAGTTTATTTGATTCCTGTCTTCAGTGGAAGTTGCCTGTTTGAAGATTTCTTTGTGGCCTCAGTCCCTATATTGTTTCCTGACTCTGTGGCCTTATTTACCCTCTGATTCTGCCTTCTCTTTATAGTTTTTATTTTTTATCTTTTAATTGACCAATAATAATTATACCTATTTGTGGGGTACATAGTGATGTTTCAATATGTATAATGTATAGTAATCAGGTCAGGGTAGTTAGCATATCCATCATTTCAAACATTTATAATTTCTTTGTGTTGGGAACATTCAATGACCTCCAGCCTGCTTCTAGTATTTCTTTTGCAATTTTGCCTTTTTTGTTTGTTTTTCATCTTCCTGTTATCAGTAATCCATATTGGCCCAGAACGTTGTATCATGTTGTGCCTGTCTACATAATTCTTCCCCCTCGGTTTGTATCACTCCGGTTTGCAAAGGAAAACTAGATGAGGGTTAGGAAAGAATTTATTACCATCTGTGAATGTAAATCAGAGACAGGTGTCCCCGGAGAAAAATCGGCAAAACCTTAATCAGAATGAAAAAGACTAAATTCCGCAAAAGGACAATCTGAACAAAAGAAAAGAAGCATGTGTTCAGCCTGGGCAACATGACAGAATCCCATCTCTACACAAAATACAGATATTAGCCAGGCATGGTGATGCGTGCCTGTAGTCCCAGGTCTTTGGGGGGCTGAGGTGGAAGGATTGCTTGAGCCCAAGAGGTAGAGTTTGCAGTGAGCTGAGATCATGGCACTGTACTCCAGCCTGGGCAACAGAGTGAGATTCTGTCTCAAAAAAAAAAAAAAAAAAAGCTACCTGTGTGACTGAAAATAGTATGTATGTTATTAATGAATAGGTGGAAGGTAGAGCTGAGGAATGACTAAATTTACAAGTGATGGTAGCTTATTAGAGTATAAGAAAAGAGGGAAAGGAGGAAAAAGAAAGAAGACTGACAGGAAAATGAAAATATATGAATAAGAAGAAAATGCAGTAAATAAGAAAATAGATCTTTACTAATTTTGGTATTGAGAATTGAGAATGTAACTTTTTAGTGTCATGGGATTTGGTGCTTGAAAGTACCTTAAAGTTATGTAGTACAACTCCCATGCTTCACAAGAGTTGAACGTTGAGGCCCAGAGAGTTATGTGATTGACTAGAGTCATACAGTTAGAAAATGGCTGAGGTTGTATTGACATCCAGAAATAGAATTTCAATTTATAGTACGGTCATTTGTCTCAATAATGGGAGTACTTTCTGAGAAATGGATTGTTAGGTGATTTCACTGAGCAAACATCATAAAGTTCACTTACACAGACCTACATGGTGTAGCCTACTACACACCTAGGGAATATGGTATAGCCTATTGCTCCTAGGCCACAAACCTGTACAGCATGTTACTGTATTGAATACTGTAGGTACTTGTAACACAATGGTAGATATTTATGTATCTAAACATGTATAAACATAGGAGAGGTACAGTAAAAACATGGTATAAAAGATAAAAAATGGTACACCTGTGTAGGGTACTTAACATGAATGGAGCTTGCGAGACTGTAAGTTCCTCTGGGTGAGTCACTGAATGAGTATGAAGGCCTAGGACATTACATTATTGTAGACTTTATAAATACTGTATACTTAGGCTGTACTAAATTTATAAAACTTTTATTTCTTCAATAATAAATTTATCTTAGCTTACTGTAACTTTTTCACTCTATACATTTTTATAGTTTTAGAAAATGTTTTGACTGTTTTGTGATGACATTTAACTTAAAGCACAAACATATTGTACAGCTATACAAAAATATTCTTTTTTTTGTCCTTATCCTATAAGCTTTTTTCCATTTAAAACTTTTATGTTTTACATTTTAAACTTTTTTGTAAAAACTAAAACACAAACACACACATTAGCCTAGGCTTATACATGGTCAAGATTATCCATATTATTCTCTTCCACTTCCACATCTTGTCCCTTTGGAAGGTCTTTGGGGGCACTAACAAGCATGGAGCTGTCATTTCCTATAATAATAATGCCTTCTTTTAGAAGGACCTACCTGAGGCTGTTTTACAGTAAACTTTTTATTTTGTAAGTGAAAGGAGTATACTCTAATGATAAGAGTATAGTAAATGTATAAGCCAATAATCTAGTCCTTTATTATCAAGTATTATTTACTGTACATAATTGTATGTACTATACTTTTTTGTTGTTGAGACAGAATTGCACTGTTGTTGCCCAGACTGGAGTGCAATGGTGTGATCTTGGCTCACTGCAATCTCTGCCTCCTGGGTTTAACCAATTCTCCTGCCTCAGCGTCCCAAGTAGCTGGGATTACAAGTATGCACCACCACCCTGAGCTAATTTTTTGTATTTTTTAGTAGGGATGGGATTTCACCATGTTGGTCAGGCTGGCCTCGAACTCCTGACCTCAAGTGATCCACCTGCCTTGGCCTCCCAGCGTGCTGGGATTACAGGTGTGAGCCATCGTGCCCGGCCTTATTGTACTATACTTTTATATGACTCACAGTAGGTTTCTTTACACCAGTATCACCACGGACATGTGAGTAATGTGTTGTGCTACAACATTACAATGGCTACTGCATCATCAGATGATAGGAATTTCTCCCTTAATCTTAAGGGACTACAGTTGTATATGTGGTCCATTGTTGACTGAAGTATCAATATGTGGTACTTGACTGTATTAGAAATTATGTAGAAAATAATAGTTCTATGACTGTATTGTCTTCTTTCTCCCTTCTTTCTTTCTTTTTTTTTTTTTTTTGAGACGGAGTTTCGCTCTTGTTGCCCAGGCTGGAGTGCAATGGCGCGATCTCGGCTCACCGCAACCTCCGCCTCCTGGGTTCAGGCAATTCTCCTGCCTCAGCCTCCTGAGTAGCTGGGATTACAGGCACGCGCCACCATGCCCAGCTAATTTTTTGTATTTTTAGTAGAGACGGGGTTTCACCGTGTTGACCAGGATGGTCTCAATCTCTTGACCTCGTGATCCACCCATCTCGGCCTCCCAAAGTGCTGGGATTACAGGCTTGAGCCACCGCGCCCGGCCCCCTTCTTTCTTTTTAATGTGTTGTTACAGAGAATTATGAACATACCATAAAGTAGACAGAATAATAGAACAAATTCTTGTTACCCATTAGTTGGCCCCAGCCATTATCAAACCATGGCTAATCCTGCTCCAATCACTCCCCACCTCTTATTGTTTTGTAGCAAATCCCAAACATATGATTTCATCTATAAGTATTTTGCTGGGTTTCAGAAATATAAAGATTTTCCTTTTTATTGTTTTTGTTTTTGTTTTTTTTTTAGACAGAGTCTCACTCTCTCACACAGGCTGGAGTACAGTGGTGCAGTCTCGGCTCACTGCAGCCTCCGCCTCCTGGGTTCAAGAGATTCTCCTGCCTCAGCCCCCCGAGTAGCTGGGACTACAGGTGTGCACCACTACGCCCAGCTAATTTTTTTATTTTTAGTAGAGATGGGGTTTCACCACGTTGGCCAGGATACTCTCAGTCTCTTGACCTTGTGATCCGCCTGCCTTGGCCTCCCAAAGTGCTGGGATTATAGGCGTGAGCCACCGCACCTGGCCTCCTTTTAAACATTACATAATTAATACTATTATTACCTCTAAAAAATTAACAATTCTTAATATCATCATATATCCAGTGTTTGGTCTTCCGATTGCACCAGGCTCTTTCATGCCACTGTGCCGTTGCTAATGCTGTTCCCTTTGCTCTTTATGCCACCACTGCCTTTCTTCTCTGCCTGAGTTTTACTTTTCTTTTCATATTCAGCTAGTATCAACTCTTCTAAGAAGCTTTATCCTTTAATCAAGTTATATGCTCCATCTGTGTTGCCATACGATCTCTACAAACTTCTAACAGAATGTTTATGAATTCAAGCATGTTATTACCACATGCATGGATGGATGGATCAATCTATTGATTGGTCTATCTAAATTAAAGAGATGTTTTCACATATTCAGAATCCACTCATAACTTGATGCTTTTTGGATAAAATCCAGACTTCTTGGCTCATGTGACCTCTTTTGATTTAGTCACTTCCTAGTCTAGAGTTTTCTCTTGCTGTTTATTTTTTCAACCCCACCTTGTCTTAGTCAAATTTGCTTTCTCTCAGCCTTGTATGTGCTAAACTCTTTTATGCCTCAGAGCTTTCACATATGTTACTCTCTTTGTCTAAAACATTCTTTTCTTGATTCTATACCTGGCAGATTTTGGATTTCCCAATCTAAATAGCGCTTTTATAATCTCTCAGTATTTCCTTTACCTTTCTCATAAACTGGTCATAATTTGTAATTATGTATTGATTCAGTGATCAGTTTGTCAGACTTTTCCAAAGATAGAAGTTTCATTTGGTCAGGACTATGTCTGTTTACCAGTTTTCCTAGTGTCTACCACAATGCTTGGCATACAGTAGAGGCAAAGTAAACAAAATAATACTATTAATATTCTTTCTAGAACAAGTTTTAATTTTGAAATTGACCAGAACCTTACAACTTCTAGGTCAGGAAGCATCTCAGAGTCAGTTAAGGAACTGGAAAGTTTTCTAAATATCATGTATCCTAAGTATTAAGATAGAATGAATTCAAAAGTTTGTATAAAGTACTGAATTCTTATATGCATCTTATGAGAAGAGCTTAAATATTTCTCATTGTACATCAATATTTAAATTAATTTCTTTTTCAACATTTTAGTTACTCAGGATGATGAAGTGGCAGAAACTGTTTACAGAGATAGGAAGAGGAAATTACCTTTGGAACTGACAGTGGAACTAACAGAAGAAACATTTAATGCAACAGTGATGGCTTCTGACAACATAGTACTCTTCTATGTTGATTGTGAGTATGAGCCTTTAGAGATGACTATTACATATTAGGACATTTAAAAACACACACATTTAATTTTTGGCATTCCATATATTGCATGTTGTAAAAGGAAATTGCTTTCATATGTCTCAAATAGACTGTGTACCCTGAAGCATTTACTTCTGATTCTGCGATTGTGCAGTTTATATCTGATTTACAAATTAAAGGTTAATGATTAAACTAGATTTTCATTAATTCTGAAAAATTGTGGCTCACGCTAATGATTTTTAATATATTATTATAGATTTATAGTAAGTATATTGCTTTAATCTTCAAATCATAGCCATTTAGCTATATTGCTTGCAGTACAAGTACAGAAAATCAGTTGCATTTGGAACTCTTTTAAGTGTTTGGACTATTTTGAGAAATGTATAATAGAATTTTCTGATTAACAATAATTTGGGGAGACATAAATCTGTATACCTGTTATATATCAGTTTGGATGCTTTGGAGATACTCATGTAATATCTGTTGAATTTTTAATTTTCATGTAGGGCAAGCAGTATCCATGGCATTTTTACAATCCTATATTGATGTGGCAATTAAACTGAAAGGTATTGTACTGTGCTATGCATGCTTATTATTCAAATTTTGAGCTGTAGCTATTTGTGAAACTGTGTCATGCAAAAAATGTAGAAAATCACGTAAAATTTCGGATTACTATGTTTGTGTCTCCAGGGTTAAGTTAACGAACGAGGAGTTTCAAGAGTGCTTACAAGCATTCACTTTGAATTGTCTTCATAGAACTGTCCTTAGTAGAAAGTAGAGAGCCTATATATTAAGTACTTGTGGTTACACAGTTAATCTAGCAACATTTTTGGTTCAAGTCAGTCATTCAGCAAGCATTTATGAGTGCCTACCCTGTGCCAGTTACTCCAGTTAAATACTGGAGATAAAAATTTGGCAGATAAGACCCAGTCTTTCAGTCTAATGAGAGATTAAGGATCCCTGTGTTATTGAAACTATATAGTTTACTCTTCATGAATGGAATGCTCTTTAATATCCAGAACCTTTTTATGTTAACTGTCCTATGCAACCTGATTTAATAGTGGGCAAATACAGATCCAAGGAATGGACTTTAACTGAGAATGTCTGTGCTACCATCTCAGCAAAGACATAGGGAAAAGGAGTGAGGCCTGTTAGTAAGAGAGGTGATGATGGATTAGGTGTGCTTAATGTAGGTTCCTTATGGTTAGGTAGTATGCCTTATATCAGCTTTCTGGGCTTGGCATAATGCCTTATATTGCACAATATCTGGTTTTTGATAATTGTTGAATAAATGAATAATAGAGTTTCATAAATTTTGTTTCATTTAATGGAAACTGTGTACTGATGTACAACTTATTTACACTTTGAAGCTTTTGGTAACTCAATAAATTGATTCCAGACACTCAACCCTAAATGGTAAGTTGTACATCAGTACACAGTTTACATTAAGTGAAACAAAATTATTATTTTTATTATTAAGTTTTTTTTATTTCCATAGGTTATTGGGTAACAGGTGGTGTTTGGTTACGTAAATAAAATCTTTGGTGGTGATTTGTGAGGTTTTGGTGCACCCATCACCCAAGCAGTATACACTGTACCCAGTTTGTGGCCTTTTATTCCTTACCCCCTTCCCACCCTTTCTTGAGTCCCCACTGTCCATTTTGTCCTTCTTATGCCTTTGAATCCTCATAGCTTAACTCCCACATATGAGTGAGAAGATGTGATATTTAGTTTTCCATTCCTGAGTTTCAGTAATAGTCTCCTGTCTCATCCAGGTTGCTGCAAATGCCATTAATTCATTCCTTTTTATGGCTGAGTAGCATTCCATTGTGTGTATGTATGTATATATATATACATACACATGTACATATATATACATACACATATACATACACATACACACACTACAGTTTCTTTGTCCACTCATTGATTGATGGGCATTTGGGTTGGTCCCATGTTTTTGCAATTGCAAATTGTGCTGCTATAAACGTGTGTGCAAGTATCTTTTTCATATTATGACTTATTTTCCTCTGGGTAGATATCCAGTAGTGGGATTCCTGGATCAAGTTCCTTTTAGTTTTTTAAGGATCTCCACACTGTTTTCCATAGTGGTTGTACTAGTTTATATTCCTGCCAGCAGTGTAGAAGTGTTCCCTGTTCACCGCTTCCATGCCAACATCTATTATTTTTTGATTTTTTGATTATGGCCATTCTTGCGGGAATAAGGTGATATCACATTGTGGTTTTGATTTGCATTTCCCTGATCATTAGTGATGTTGAGTATTTTTTCATACATTTATTGACCGTTTGTATATCTTCTTTTGTAATTATTTATTCATGTCCTTAGCCCACTTTTTGATGGGATTGTTGTTGTTTTTTTCTTGCTAATTTGCTTGAGTTCATTTTAGATTCTGGATATTAGTCCTTTGTCAGATGTATAGATTGTGAAGATTTTCTCCAACAGTGTGGATTGTCTGTTTACTCTGCTGACCATTCCTTTTGCTAGGTAAAAGCTCTTTAGTTTAATTAAGTCTCAGCCATTTATCTTTGTTTTTATTGCATTTGCTTTGGGATTCTTGGTCATGAAATTCTTGCCTAAGCCAGTGTCTAGAAGGATTTTCCAATGTTGTCTTCTAGAATTTTTATAGTTTCAGATCTTAGATTTAAGTCTTTGATCTATCTTGAGTTGATTCTGTATAAGGTGAGAGATGAGGATCCAATTTCATTCTCCTACAGATAGCTTGCCAGTTATCTCAATACCATTTGTTGAATAGGGTATCCTTTCCACACTTGATGTTTTTGTTTGCTTTGTCAAAGATCAGTTGGCTGTAAGTATCTATCAGCATTTATCTCTGGATTCTCTGTTCTTTTCCGTTGGTCTCTGTGCCAAGTTTTATGCCAGTACCATCCTGTTTTGGTGACTATGGCCTTACAGTATAGTTTGAAATCAAGTAATGTGACGCCTCCAGATTTGTTTTTTTTTTACTTAATCTTGCTTTGGCTATGTGGGCTCTTTTTTGTTTCCATATGAATTTTAAGATTGTTTTTTCTAGTTCTGTGAAGAACTAGGAAAATGATGGTGGTGTTATGATGGGAATTGTGTTGAATTTGTGGATTGCTTTTGGCAATATGGTCATTTTCACAATATTGATTCTACCCATCCATGAACATGAGATGTATTTCCATTCATTTTTGTCATCCATGGTTTCTTTCAGCAGTGTTTTGTAGTGTTCCTTGTAGTGGTCTTTCAGCTCCTTGATTAGGTATATTCCTCAGTGTTTTATTTTATTTTTCCAGCAGTTGTAAAAGGGGTTGAACTCTGGACTTGATTCTCAGCTTGGTTGCCGTTGGTGTATAGAAGAGCTATTGATTTGCGTGCATGGATTCTGTATCTGGAAACTTTGTTGAATTCTTTTGTCACTTCTAGGAGCTTTCTGGATGAATCTTTAGGGTTTTCTAGATAAACAATCATGTCATTGGAAATCAGCGACAGCTTGACTTCCCTCTTTACCAATTTGGATGCCTTTATTTCTTTCTCTTGTCTGATTGCTCTGGCTAAGACTTCCATTACTGTGTTGAAGAGGAGTGGTGAGAGTAGGCATCCTTGTCTTATTCCAGTTCTCAGAGGAAATGCTTTCAGCTTTTCCACATTATTGTTGGCAGTGGGTTTGTTATAGATGGCTTTTATTACATTGAGGTATATCCCTTGTATGCCAATTTTGCTGAGAGTTTTAATCAGAATGGAATGCTGGATTTTGTTGAATGCTTTTTCTGTGTCTATTGAGATGAATATGTGATTTTTGTTTTTGACTCTTTTTATGTGGTATATCACATTTATTGACTTGTGTATTTTAATCATCCCCGCATCCCTGGTATGAAACCCACTTGATCATGGCGCATTATCTCTTTGGTATGTTGTTGGATTCAGTTAGCTAGTGTTTTGTTGAGGATTTTGGTATCTATCTTCATCAGGGATATTGGTCTGTAGTTTTCCTTTTTTGGTTATGTTTTTTCCTAGGGTTTGGTATTAGAGTGATACTGGTGTCATAGAATGATTTAGGGATAGTTCCCTCTTTATCTTCTGGAATGGTGTCAGTAGGATTAATACCAGTTGTTCTTTGAATGTCTGGTAGGATTCTCCTGTGAATCTGTCTAATACTGAACTTATTTTTTGTTAATTTTATTACCATTTTCAATCTCACTTGCTTGTTATTCTTCTGTTTAGAATATCTAATTGTTCCTGTTTTAAGCTAGGAAAGTGGTATCTTTCCAGGAATTTATCCATCTCCTCTAGGTTTTTCAGTTTATGTGCATAAAGGTGTTCTGAATGATCTTTTGTATTTCTGTGGTGTCAGTGTAGTATTTCTGGTTTCATTTCTAATAGAGCTTATTTGGATTTTCTCTTTTCTTGGTTAATCTTTCAAATGGTCTATCAGTTTTGTTTATCTTTTCAAATAATCAGCTTTTTGTTTAATTTATTTTTGAATTTTTTTTGTTTGTTTCAATTTCATTTAGTTCTTCTCTGATCTTGGTTATTTCCTTTCTTCTGCTGGGTTGAGGTTTGGTTTACTCTTGTTTCTCTAGTTCCTTGATCTATGACCTATGTGTGCTCTTTCAGACTTTGATGTAAGCATTTAGGGCTATGAACTTTCCTCTTAGCACCGTCTTTGCTAGTTGATAGATTGTGTCACTATTGTCATTCAGTTTGAAGAATTTTTAAATTTCAATCATGATTTCATTTTTGACCCAATGATAATTCAAGAGCAAGTTGTTTAATTTCCATGTATTTGCATGGTTTTGAAGGTTCCTTTTGGAATTGATTTCCAGTTTTATTCCACTGTGGTCTGAGAGAGTACTTGATATAATTTCAGTTTTCTTGGATTTATTGAGGCTCATTTTGTGGCCTATCATATGATCTACCTTGCAGAAAGTCCGATGCACTGTTGAATAGAATGTATATTCTGTGGTTGTTGGGTAGAATGTTCTGTAAATCTCTTAAGTCCATTTGTACCAGGGTATAGTTTAAATCCATTGTTTTTTTTTTTTGATCTTCTGTCTTGATACTTCTAGTGCTGTCAGTGGAATATTGAAGTCTCCTACTATTATTGTGTTGCTATCTCATTTCATAGGTCTATTAGTAAATGTTTTATAAATTTAGGCGCCCCAATGTTAGGTGCGTATATATTTAGGATTGTGATATTTTCCTGTTGGACAAGGCCTTTTATCATTATATAATGACTCTTTTTGTCTATTTTTTTCTTCTTTTTTTTTTAATTTAAGTTCTGGGGTACATGTGCAGATTGTGCAGGTTTGTTACATAGGTATACATGTGCCATGGTAGTTTGCTGCATCCATTCCCCTCTCATCTACCTTAGATGTTTCTCCTAATGTTATCCCTCCCCAATCTCCCCACCCCCTGCCATCCCTCCCCTAGCTCCCCCACGCCCTAACAGGCCCCAGTGTGTGATGTTCCCCTCCCTGTGTCCATGTGTTCTCATTGTTCAGCACCCACTTATGTGTGAGAACATGTGGTGTTTGGTTTTCTGTTCTTAAGTCAGTTTGCTGA